TGGCAGGTTTCGAGTTCAACGGCATAACGGCAATGGCACTTGGACTTTACGGCGCAAGCCTCGTTTTCGCCTTCCATTCAATGCCATTCATCAAAGCAACGTCCGTAAGTGATTTTGCTTTATCAGCTAACCAAACATCTGTAAGGGCTCTGTATCGCAGGTAGTGCAAGTGCAGGGTTGTACGGTTGGACCAGAATTGCTCCCTGATCGTATGTATATAACTCCGCTGCCGCGCCTCGCTTGCCAGTTCTTTTTAGTGCAAAATCCATACACAGTTCTGTCCATGTTTAATGTGCGACAATGTTCCACGCAATCATTTGGTGTCAGCCGGGGGGTTAGCAGATTCCGTGAAAGCTTGCCGGATGGAATGCAGCACAATATGGTGCGGCGTTTAGATTACATGGTCTGCAAATACAGCCCTGCTCCGCGACAACACCAGCTCGTTCACACATCATCGGGCCGACTGAAGAAGCTTCCGGACTATTTGTATTCGTTGATTTGTGAAATGGTAATTCTGACAGTCGGCATGATTTGCAGCTCATCAACATGATCCTGATGCACCTCACAGCACTTGGAACGGCGCTCAGCTTCCGCCAGGTATGCTTACATACTCATTCTTTCGCGTCTCACTGTCCATTCGACAAAATTCCCCGTGCCTGAACAATGCATTTCAGGTGGATCGCAGGGCCGGCCTGCTTGCACTGCCGCTCGCTGTATGGTCCGGGTTCTGTGCGCTGATCGCCTGTACAGCGAGAACCATGAGTGCACGATGAGGTGGCGACCTGCGGCGACGAGGAACAACCGAGGCACTCCGAGACACACACCCCCCTTTCTTTCCCGATCTTATCTTAGGAGTAGTGCTGTGAAATTGTGCAGCCAAGAGGAGGTGAGTGACTTGGCTGGCCGCCTGCAGCACACCGAACTCGCCTCGTCCCGAGCCGAGCACCCCTTCCTCCACTGCCGCCACTGTTGATCGGTTTCACTGATGAAATTTGGTGGTCATCATCATTGTGTATTTTTATTTGATGACAGTGCTGATGCTCATGCATTCTCTGATGATAACACTATCAGTCATGCCATGTTCATTAATTTTCCCACACACACACACACACTTGCATACACGCACGCAATACACACACGTACAAATACACATGTACACATACACACTTGCACGCACATACACATAAACACACCTACATGCACACACGCAGAAGACAAACATACACGGTTCTTTGCTCATATTGTCATCGTTTGAGTGATGTTTTGAACCGCCGCTGCTAATGTTTTCCCATATCTCATAAAGAAAAGTGTGTGTGCCCGTGTGCATGTGGTTTGTAGAGCGAAGCGCTCACACGGTGCTCCAGCATTGCGCAAGCTCGCTCCAGAAGTGACAAGCACACATCCAACATCCGCCAAAATGCAGCCTTGCAAACATTGCCAGCTGTGTCCAGCGCTTTGCGCTCTCCCCCCTCAGCCAGCGTCTCTGGAGCACATTTCTCTCGGCTCTCCTCCCACCCCGGTGAATCTCTCTTCCCTCCCGCGCCCCGCATCGTTCCGTTATTGTGGCAATCAAGAAAATGAATGGGTTTTTGCGCATATTGCGAAGTACCGCTTACACATCTGATCGATTGTTGTTGTGGTCCGTGGGTCGCATGGCTTGGGGTGCCACTGGCGCGAGGCAGCATCCCGGGGCTTTGAAGGCGCTACTGCAAGGCTCATGTCCTGGGGGGGGAGGAGGGGGAGCTGTGGCGCAGGCTGAAGCAAGCATCGCTGGTTGGTGGGAGGCGTATGGGTAGGTGGAGAGGGGAGGTTACGTACGGCCGCCAGTGGGAAGAACGCGTCGGCGTGAGCGCGCTGGACGAGATACGCTCGATCATTGTGCAGAGACTGGGGCGTGCATGCGCAGTGGTGCCGGCGTGCGTCCGCCGGGCAGGGAGGGAGGGAGCGAGGGCGGCAGGCATAGTACGTTATAGCTGCTGCCAGTGCTGGACGATTGCTGAAGAAGTGGTTTGTTCAGAGAGGCGTGCGGCGATGCGACGTTTCGGTGTGGCGGCGTCGGCGGCATCGTGGACGGCGGAGGACACGAGGAATGCAGTGCTGGCGAGCCTGGTGCCGGCCGGCACCGCGCTCACCGCATTCGCCGTGTTCGCGAAGGATCGAGAAGTTGTGCAGTGGTGGTCTGTGAGTTCGTTTCGTGCTTCTTCTTTGCTGCTGCTGCTGCATGCATCTGCAGCTTTCGGCACCGTCCCCCTCTGCTCGTCACGCGTCGCTTCGACGTCTGCCTGTGGCCAGATATGTCTTGCTTTATATCTGTCGCTGCTGCGAGCCACCGCGGAAGGCCACGCACCGCACACGTGCAGCAGCTGGTACACCTCACTGGGGCCTGGTCGCATCGTGCGACGTTTGCGCTGCGCAACGATTGTTGCGTTGTGTTCGGCCAGTTTTGTTTGTTTGAAAATCAAGCAGGTTAGGGCCGGAGGTTGTGTGTACGGGGTATCGGTGTGTTTGAGGCGGATGGGTACTGCCGTTTGTACAGCGCCAGTGTGCACAGCGGCGCACGGGCTTTGCTTGCCGTGGCAAGCAAGACGGATTGGGTGCAGCTTTCACTGTGTTTGTGGTGCTTGCCGAATAGACAAATTCATGTTTTAGCATGCGAAGAAACCGGACTGGGCGCCCAAGGATCCGACCTTCTACTCGCTGGTGGACATTGCTACACTCAGCCCTCTTGGATATGCCTCGTACCTCGTTTACAAACACGGAGGAGGTAAGAGCTTCCGCATTTGTTGTTGCTCTATGCTATAGTAACTGTCACTGGAGTAGTTCCCGTGCGTTTGCTATTGCCGAATATTGCTGCGACGAACTGGAGGAGTGTGTAGTTGACGGCATTGCTCCGAACAGCAGCATAATGACAGAACCACAAATTAAGCCACAGACTTTAAGTGGATTGGCTGTTCTTTAACGCAGATTTCACAAATTCGTCGATGTCCTGAAATTCTCAAGCTAAAAGGACGTTGTCCGCTTGTTCAGTACTAGTACGAAACGTGGTCACAGAAGAAAACAGGAAAAGCGATAATTGTAAGGCAGGGAGAGAGAGGGAGCATTGGGAGGAAATACGTTTGGGGTATCGCTTCCTCGCCACTGTAAACAGTCTGGTGCACTCGATATTGCTGCCATCAGACTTGGATGGGATGCGTTGTTCGCCTTGCAGACAACCAAACAACATTGACGACATGGATTGAACTGCTGGTTGGTCTGGGTTGAGCCAAGCATAGTCGCGGTTGGCCATTGATATCGCATCCTCGCAACAACTGTTTGAACAGTGATGGTAATTTCGGTACGACTAAGCTCTGCTGCTTTCTGGAGACTTCAACCATTTGTTAGTGTACGGGGTATAAATTGAGACTTAATAATGTATTGATCCCTCGCATCACAGATTTCTGCAGCGCGCACTTTATTATCTGTTATTTGGCACAAGACGCTGGAATACAATTACTTCCT